AGAAATAAAGTTGTTATTCTGAGTTATTTGCGAGAAGGAATAGTCAGTCATATTAAAAGCTGGAACAACAGATTTTTATCTCGGGCTGGTCGGGACGCGTTACTAAAAAATGTGATTCAGGCGATGCCATCTTATGTGATGAATGTTTTTCTGTTTCCCCAAAATCTTTGTGAGGAGATTGAAAGACTTATGAATGGGTACTGGTGGAGGGGGTCCAAGTTAGATCAAAGGGGTCTTCGATGGAGAAGTTGGGAACATTTGTGTGGATCGAAGAATGTATGGGGTCTGGATTTTCGAAGGGTTCGGGAATTTAATTTAGCTATGCTTTCTAAACAAGCTTGGAGACTTACTACAGATACCACAGGTATGGTGAGTAGGGTGTTCAAGGCAAGATATTTTCCTAAGTTTTCTTTTTTGGAAGCTAAGATTGGTTACAGTCCCTCGTTTGTTTGGCATAGTCTAATGGAGACTCAACATGTTGTGAGGACGAATATTCGTAAATGAGTAGGGAATGGTAGAAACACTCGGGTTTGGGTGGATAGATGGCTTCCGGGGACTGGTTCAGAATTTGTGCAGTCCAATAAGCCAACATGGATTTTGGATATGAATGTTGCTTCCTTACGAGATGAGGAAGGTAAGAACTGAAATGTGAGGCGGGTGCAAACTCTTTTTTCGACAGAAGAAGCAAAAGTATCCTTAGCATTCCGATTAGTTCTTATGATAAGGAGGATAGCTTGTGTTGGATGGGAGAGAGGAATGATTTATTTTCGGTGAAAAGCTATTATAGACTCCTAGTGGGAAACTTGACAGATGCTACTTGGAAGGGATGGACTAGGATGTGGACTTTAAAAATTCCGCCTAAGGTTAAATATTTGTTCTGGCAACTAATGGATGGGTCTCTTCCCATCTTGACTAATCTTGTTAGACGTGGTGTGCAGATTGCTACAACTTGTAGGCTGTGCGATATGGAGGATGAATCGGCTGAACATGCTTTTCGTTTATGTCCGAAGGTACAAGAGGTATGGCAGCAAGCTGGTTCTTGATACTGTTCGGGTGTGAATGGCTTGGAGGGCTGGGTGCGGACAATAATAGGAGCGGCTGATACGAGTATTTGTAGGTTTATTACTCTATTATGGAGTATATGGAAGCGGAGGAATAATGTTATATGGAAGGAGAAGTATCAAGGAGCCTCAGCCGTACTAAATTGTGCTGATAGTTTGCTTAAACATTGGGAGGCCTCTCAAATGGTGCAACAGAAGTCCGACCAAAGGCAGGTGAAGGCAGCTACCAGGTGGAAGAGACCAAGAGAACACGACATAAAAGTCAATATTAATTTGAGTCAGACGCCTTAACGGTGGTGCAGGAGGTGCAGGGTGAGTTAGGGCTGTCCTATCTTGACTTGTTAATTGAGGATATTCGAGTTTTGTTGGAAACAAAGAGGAATTTTAGTCTCTCTTTTTGTCAGAGATCTGCGAATCGTGTTGCCCATGTTTTAGCTAGGCAAGGCGTGCAAATTTCAGATCACACAAGTAGCTATGTGGAAGCTCCACATTTTATTGTAAGCTTTATGGCAAATGATTTGATTATTTAATGAAAGCTTCATTTTATTTGCAAAAAAAACATATTCAAATGCCAATTTGAATTAACTGTAACTATATTTTTTTTTTTGAACCCAGAGTTGACCAACCAAAAGAGGTTGGCATAGGAGCTGGGGAACATCCTACCTGTTTATTGAAATGGAGTGAAAGTACAAGGTAGGAGGACATAGAGTCAAAGCCTACCCCAAAGATTAGTAAAGATAAGGGTAACTAATGGCATCAAATTTAAGAATCCCTACAAATTGATTAAAAAGCACGGGGTTTAATTTAAGGGAGACATTCTTATACGCAACAAATTCTGCCGCTCTATTACATTTGGAATTGATGGTGTCCATTCTCCAACAAAAATTTTTCAAACTGCGCCTGATTTATTTTACATGAGCCCAATATCTCCAATGGTGAGTGATGATCCCTTTGACTGTAACTATATTCCAAAGTAAATGTCATCACACCTTTTATTCAACTGCGCCCACTGCTTAATTCTAAAGAAAATACATATTCCACTACAATCATCTGCATCTTAAATACTTCACTAAGATATAAGAAATCACATGAATGTTTACCAACAAAATATGCACTTAAAAACATTTTCAAATGCACTTAACCTCTCTTTGCATAAAAAACAATATTCATCTGCATATTAATTCCATCACCCCAAAAATGAATAAGCATTTGAAAAAAACTCAGTCTGCATTTATTTCACAGTTCAATTGCAGCTTTACGTAATGTCTTTTGCACCAAAAATTGAATCTAAGTGATTGCTAAGTTATTTCAACAGCACCCAACCATTTTTTGTCTGCATTTTTACCAGCATACACAACTTCCTCAAACACAAGTCAATTGCACCTTTAGCTAATCTATTTTTCCCCAAGGAAGTAAATACGGAGTATAATCTATTCACTTGCACCCTTGCTTATTTCTAAGTTACCTCAACTGTACCTACCAATCTTAGTCTGCATAGCCTATCAATTAAATTTCACCTTTACCTAATCTATTTTGCACCAAAAATTAATCTAATCAGGATCACTCACCAAACACGAACTCAAAAATCAACATTCATACTAAGATTAGTCTATAAGAGTACTCTTCCGGTCAGGAATTCCTGACCGGAACCGCCGTCCGGACGGCGGCGTTTGGCCGCCTTCCGGGTGGAATTTTTCGATGAAATTTTTATGACATGTTCTTCATCAAGTCTAGTTTATCCACAAAAAAATTCAGCCAAAAACTCATTCGGGAAGGTCGTCAAATAATTTTTGCAAGTTAACTGGTCCGGAAAATACATATTCCGGACGAGTTAACTTGCAAAAATCATTTGACGACCTTCCCGATTGAGTTTTTGGCTGAATTTGTTTGTGGATAAACTAGACTTGATGGAGAACATGCCATACAAATTTCATCAAAAAATGTCACCGGGAAGGCGGCCAAACGCCACCGTCCGGACGGCGGTTCCTGTCCGGAATTCCGGACATGAATAAAATTCTAGTCTAATATATTGCACCTTTACGTAATATATTTTGCACAAAACTTAATCTAATCAGGAAGACTCACCAAGCACGAACACAAAAACAAACATTCATATCCAAAATGCAATTTTCACTAAAGTTCAACTCCATATTAGTAATTATATATTACACATTACTAAATTCAACAACAAAAACACAATCAATATGACGTCCATCACAAATGCATCCACACAATCCTCTGTGTGCATCTAACATACCAAATCCTCCATGCAAAGAGATTAATTTAAACAAAACAAATACCTTCTTCGCACGCCAAAGCAATTTGTCGCAAAGCGTGATCTTCTTGAACTGAAGCCATTTGCGCAAATGGAATTTCACCGGTCGTTGATCTTCACAGACGATGTCCTTTGTCTACGCTGAAGCTTTTGCCGCTCTCAAGGAAATATTCCGGCTTATGAGACCTTGGGTAGTTGGAGCATAAACAACCTCTGCATCTTTCCTGTTTTTGATTTGCTATTCATGGGCAGTTCGAATCTAAGTGGGGATTATGCCCAAGATTTCATTCCTTTTCCGTATTATGGCGGTTCCATTTTAAAAAATGTCAAATGCTTCTTTATCCGTAATTACTAAACGGGTTTTAAAATTCCCATTCGCCTCTTGCGCAGCTCATGAAGTCTAACGATGAGGAACCTGTTTTGGGCCATTGATTTGGCTAAATTGGACGGACGAAATTGATTTGCATTTTGTATGGGGAGCAGTGTTTGTATGTGATCTCTTCCCTATACACACACACACACACAGAGAGAGAGAGAGAGAGTAATCTTCCGATTAGGCCGTTCCTGACCGGAGCGTTGTCCGGCCTCCTCCTTTTGGGGCAGTTCCCGATGGTATTTTTTGCTGAATTTTTTTCTTGTTCTTCATCAAGTCTAGTTTACCCATACCAAATTTCAGCTCAAATTTCAATCGGAGAGGAATTGAAATGATTTTTGGAAGATAACTGCACCAATATATACATGTAAAACACAATTATATTTCAAAAATCGTTTGACTGCCTTCCCGATTGAATTTTTAGTTAAAATTTGGTATGGATAAACTAAATTTTATGAAGAACATACACAAAAAAATTCAGCAAAAAATACCACCTGGAACCAGGGGCGGAGCCAAGGGAGGTCAAGGGGGTCAGCCGACCCCGCTGAAAGTTTGAGAGTATAGAGCTCTGAAATACCTTCGATTTGATATATTATGGCCCTTGTAACTCATTACGAGTAAAAATTATGACTTCTGGGAAATCAACACTATCTAAACGTAAAATCAGCAAATTTTGATGCATAATATTGATTATTTTCCCAAATTTTATGAATAACGTATAATTAATTCATTAGTTACGTAACATGATTCAGAAACAGAGCAAAGACAGTATATCTTATTGCTTACAAATGCCTATTTATCTAAACTACAAATGAAACATTCAATTCGAACATTGTCTAAAAATGATGTACCATTTTCATTTTGTACATTGTTTATTTTCGACCCCCTGACCCGTTTTTCTGGCTCCGCCACTGCCTGGAACAATCCCAAAAGGCGGAGGCCGGACGGCACTCCGGTCAGGAACGATCTGACATGAATAATCCTATATATATACTACCTTCGTCTCATTTATATTGTCTCGGAAGAGGGTGACACGGTTATTAAGAAAAGTAAGTTTGTGTGATTGATATTAATTGATAAATTAAGAATAAAGTAAGAATGATTTAGAGCCACACAAACTTTGCCAAATATGGTATGAGACAATTTAAGTGGGACTTCCCGAAAAAGTAAAACGGAACAATATAAATGGGACGGAGGGAGTAAATATATAAAACATGCATACTAAATTTGAATGTGTGATATTTTGAATAACAGAATCTTATAAGTGTTAGGTAGTATTGGAAATCTTATAAGTGGAATCTTAATTACCCTAAATGCAGTTAACTAGCATGCCCATTCTTAACATGAATCTTGATATGGAGAATATTTTTACAACCCGGTAAAGATGACTGATACGGAGTACTCCGTATATAATAGGAACGGTCACATATTACATTAATCTATATCTTGATAGAGAACTAAAAAAGAATAAATATGATTGAAATGGTAATACGTTAGTGTTATAAGAAAAAACACATTACATTTTCAATTTTTACCAATATAGATGCTACTACCTCCAAAAGCTTCTTCTCACATTAACCCCTTCATCCAAATCAAAATTTCTTTTTGTACACCTTTTTATACACATCAATACACCCCATTGTCTGTAAGACTTTTTTTTTTGCTGTGAATGCCAGTTCACAGACAAAACCTTATTTTCCACAGACAAAACAAATCAGGTAAAACAAATCAGGTTTTGAGGTGTGTATAAAAAGGTGTATAAAAAGGTGTACACCAAGAATTTCCCTCATCCAAATAGGCCAAAGCAGTGTCTAGGCAGCCGATGGCCGGCATTACCTCCGGTGACAGCTAGCTATGAGGCTATGATACACGGAAATCTTAGCAGATTCTCACGGAAAAGCATCCTAACAATTCCAAACGCTTCTCAAAGAGAACATCAATTTCCTTTACCTTAGTACCTCACAAACACCTTGATGATGTGATTTAGCAAGTCAAATATAAGTATATCCGGAAGTTATTGTAAGCTTCCATGTAGTTCATTGAGTAGGACATCAGTTATTTCATCGCCATCCTTCTTCCCACCATCCACAGTGCTTTGTACGGAGATATAAGACATGTAGGCCTCGCGATCAAAACCCCCCGCATCACTCAACATCTCAATCAATTCCTCTTTGCTTTTCACGTCATCATGTTGCTCACAAAGCTGCATAAAAGAAAATATAGTAGGATGACTGGGTGTCCAGTTTCCAGAACCTTCAGCCGAAAGGGCATCTCTCAAGCAAGACAAAGCTTCTGAAACTCTCCCCCTCCTGATATGCAATTGTGCAATGATTTCCCATGCCGATGAGTTGGGCTGTTTTCCCGCATCCACAATTCGTGCAAAAAGACTTTCAACCTTATCCAATAGCCCGTTCCTCAAATACCAACTCAGGAGAAGATACGGCATTCTGGGATCATAACGCTTGATTTCTGACATCCACTCATCGAATGTGTTTTCGGCGCCTTCGATATCATCTAATCTTAAAAGAGAAGAGATTAGTGCATGGTAACCCTTGTTTGGGATGCGGCGAAAGCTTGCGTTGTAGACATTCCAGACGCGGTATACCTCTTCCTTGTTACCAACTCTAGCATACAGACTCATGAGGTAATCATAACAGATAGGCTCCTTGACATTGATTCTACTCTCCATCTGTCTCAAAAAATCTTCGCCTTTTTCCATCTCACCCATCTGAATGTACATTGAAGCCATTATGCTCAATGTGTCCCAGTGTATAATAACACCAGGGTCCTTTTTCATTTTCTCAAATGCTTCTTCCATCTTCTCCACAGATCCTTGGTTTCCAAGGAACCCCAACCATATATTATAAGAAACCATGTCTAAAATATTTTTCGAATCCATTTCTGATATTAAACGCTCCACCTGGTCATTAACCTTGAGTTTATTGTAAAGGGTAATCATCACATTATATGGGACAGAAGTACTGGCAAAACCTCGGGTTTTCATCTCATCAAATAAAGATTCCGCTTTTTCCCTCATTTCTGATTGAGCATAGGCATTCAAGAGTGAGGCATACACTCGGTTGTCCTTCACATGTTCCGGCAATTTCATGAAGTAGTCTTCGGCATTTGAGATTCCTTTCACTCGGTATATTAAATTTAAATGAACTGCAGCACCCTTTTTAGATGCATGATATGTATCCTTTCTGTCCTTCATCCACTCATATACCTGCAGAATAAACACAGCTGATCTATGAGACTATGAATGAAAAATATGTAGGCGCAATATGCTATCTGAACTACCCTGCATACACTTAGCAGTTATGCTCCATTTGGACGGAGTTGATCCTGGTAAAGAATTTGATCCACCTCGTTTTGGGACTTTTTAACACTAAAAAATATTAAACCGTTCACCGTGATAGGGAGTAATTAGTGTATATGTCTATGTTATACTGCCTATTTCGAAGTCTCAGATCACCTCCACTCAGACAAGCAGAAAACAATCTTCACTCACTCACTTAGATGGAACTTGTATTATTCAAACAAAATCTTGAGATATTCGATCCTGTGAATCTATTTCCTACTAACCTAACTGAACCTCAAATCGAACAGAGCATTCACCAAACTACAATTTTATGGAAGATTAACTTCCATACAAATAGAGAGAGTTTAGAATTACTGGGTATTGAACAAAGGAGTTCGCTGTCTGGGTAAAGGAAATCCTAACGTTATGCGGGGAGAGTATAACCTGGAGAGCAAGCTTGTATCGCTTGAATGTGCGGAGTTCCTTAATTATAAGCACAAGATTCGATATTGAAAGATCCGCACCCCCATTCTCAAACTGTTCTAGCACTGCGTCAACGCTGGTTGGTCCCGAGAGTGCAGCAATGCATATACGCTTGTACATTTTGTACCAATCGAGTTTCGGCTTCTTCCCATAGTCCACAGTGCTGGCATTCGATTTTGAGGAACATGAGACCGCAGGGCCCTTCGGAGAGTAGAGAAGAATAGATGTTGAGAACCCAGGAGGGGATGAGAGAAAGCGGGAGATATGCACTGAGAATGAGAGAGGGCGGACACGGTGGTGGTGAACCGGCGCGGCGGTTGCGGTTGTGGCTGTGACGGATTGGAGCAACATTGTTCTTGATAAGATTCTTCCTTTGCAGTTTTTACTTCAACGAATTCCCACCACACCAGCTGAAGCGTGAAGAAGACGTGTAATCCATTTTGAGGGTGTTTGGAAGTGATTCCTGCTTTTTTAAAGTAGAAGTTGGTCAACCTCACCTTCTGAAAAACTGATTCTATAAGTAAATTAGAGCATCAGAATTATTTTCGCACTTTCACTCAAACACTCCAGCTTCGAAACAGTTTTAAGAATCAGATCCAAACAACCCTAGATGGATGAAAATTTCGATCTTTTGTGTTTGGTGTGGTTTAGGGAGTGTTTCAAATGCTTCTGCCTAAAAAAAACACTTTTGGAAATGAGTTTGGAAAAAGTGATTAGTAGTAAAAGTTGATAGTGATTGAAAAAAAATGAATTTGAAAAGTAAAGTTGATAGTGTTTGGTAAATAAGCGTTTTTTGTGTAATAGAAAACGTAAAAAACACGTTTCCAAAAAAACGTAAAAAGCATTTTCCGCACAAAAGCCGAGAAACGCTTTCTTCACAAGGAGCAGAAGTAAAAGTTTGAGTATTTGGATGGAAGACTGAAAGTGCAAAAGTTGGGGAAATTCCCGAAATAAGAGTAAAAATGTTTGAAAATTTCATAATAGAACTATCATATTTTTATTTCCTATATAGGAGTAATTACTCTCAAAGTTTGAAAAATATTGTCATATTTAAAGTTTGGTATTGCCAAAATATGGCAATAATTACCCTTATTTAGAGAATAAAAACATAATAGTCCTAATTTGGAATATACAAACGTTTTTAGTCCTATTTAGGATAATTTTCCGCAGAAGTACTTCTAGTGACCTAGTTTACTCCTAGAATCGGTTTTTTTAACATTTGGGAGAGACTGACTTCTGAAAACTGATTCTGATTTTGCTTCTGCTTTAAAAAAATAGCAGAATCAGAATCAGTTCCAAACACCCTAAATAGATCATTATTAATTATCAATTTTACATGCTAAATTGCTAACCGGTAAAAGTAAAAATTGTTTGAAAACGTTTTAGATTTTTAGCTTTTGGATTAACCTTTGTTGTGTAGATTACTTAGAGCCTGTTTGGTGATCATGTTTTTTCGGTGTATCAAGTTTATTAACAAATTTTTTCATCAAACACGTAATTATTGATTTCGCGTGCCAAATTGTGTAATAATAAAGAAAAGTAATGTTTGAATTAATTTTCCGACTGTATTGGCTGAAGTTACTATAATAATCATTTTAACTATTTTTTTGTATTTTATTTTCGTTATTTTATTAAAAAAAAATATTTTAAAAATATTATTTTTAAAATATTTAGTCACATATTTAATTATAAGAGGATAACAAGTGATGACTGATTTGCTTAGATTGGGGGTTAGATTGGGGGGTGCAGCCCGATACACAAAGGCATCCTCGCAAGTCGAGGGTCCGGGGAAGGGTCCAAGATAAGGGTGGACCGGTTCCGGTTCGGGCCCAGTTCAGGCCTGGGCCCGGCCGGGCCTTGGTTCAGAAATGGGAGGCCTGGAACCGGCCCGGGTAATCCCGGTTCCGGTTCGGGCCGGGCCTCGGTTCTATTCTTTTTTTTTTTTGGCTTTTCCTAATTAACCCCCAACCCTCCCCCCTCACCCCCAAACCACCCCAAACCACCTCAAATGGCCCAAAATACCAAGCCCAACCCAAAAACTTAAAAAAAAAATAAAAAAAAAAACAATTAATTTGGCCCGAACTGGGCCCGAACCGCCCGGGCCGGTTCGCCAATCAAAGGGCCCGGGCCCGAACCGCACAGTAACCGGGCCGGGCCGACCCGAACCGCCCCCGGACCGGTTCCTGGGCCGGGCCGGTTCAAACAGTAACCGGGCCGGTTCCGGGCCGGTTCCGGGCCGGGCCGCCCGGCCCGAGTCCATTATGTACCATGTCTACTAACTTAACATTAAAAAGAGTGGCAATGTATTCCGGCAGCTTAATAATGTAAAATACACTATTATACATAGCTTGGGACTTACTTTAACAGGAATGTGAAATTTCAGTTTTGGAACTCTTCCAAAGAAATACCTTCCTCTTTAGAGTACCTATAGCATAGTTGAATCTTCATGTAACGAAGCACAATATGATTGCTACGATACAAAATGCCCATTATAAAGTAAGTGTGACAGGAATGTTCACCAATAACGAGCTATTTTTAAGGTTTTCTACATTTTTCCCATAGATCTGCGTGTACAGTGAGCTTTAAGGGTAAAAGCTTATTTATGTAATTCTCTTGGTGAAGAACAAAACTTACCTTTCACCTTACCTGGATGAGACCTAATACATTGACAACATGAAATTCCAAATCTTGAAATTCCGTTTATTGCTAAGAAGGTGTCAATATGAACACGGACTTCATTTACATGGTTCAACATGTTGACTGGAAAACATATAGAGTCCATTTAGAAATAGAATGTAAAAAATCTGAGTGCAGTACATGCTTGTCAGGGCGTCGCCTGGTCGCCCACTAGGCATCCTGGCGCTAGGGACTGCTCGCCAGCTTCACTCGCCTTGCCAGACAAAGAGTAGTCGAAGTCGTGAATGGCGTCGTCCAGGCGTCATGCAAGCGCTGTTTTAGCAACGAAATCCTCGCCTTTTTGGAAAGTCGGACCGCTATGGCGCAGGCCCAGAACCCAAATAAAAAAAGATTTAGGCTTTATATAAGTATATGTGGAAGTTATTGTAAGCTTCCATGTAATTCATTGAGTAGGACATCAGTCATTTCATCCCCATCCTTCTTCTCACTTTCCATAGTGCTTTGTACGGAGATATAAGACATGTAGGCCTCGCGATCAAAACGCCCCGCTTCACTCAACATCTCAATCAATTCCTCTTTGCTTTTGACATCATCATGTTGCTCACAAAGCTGCATAAAAGAAGATATCGTAGGATGCCTGGGTGTCCAGTTTCCATAAACTTCAGCCGAAAGAGAATTTCTCAAGCAAGACAATGCTTCTGAAACTCTCCCCCTCCTGATATGCAATTGTGCAATGATTTCCCATGTCGATGAGTTGGGCTGTTTTCCCGCATCGACAATTTGTGCAAAAAAACTTTCAACCTTATCCAATAGCCCGTTCCTCAAATACCAACTCAGGAGAAGATTCGGTATTCTGGGATCATAACGCGTGATTTCTGACATCCACTCATCGAATGCGTTTTCGGCACCTTTGATATCATCTAATCTTAAAAGAGAAGAGATTAGTGCATGGTAACCCGTGTTTGGGATGCGGCGAAAGTTTCCCTTGTACACATTCCAGACGCGGTATACCTCTTCCTTGTGACCAACTCTAGCATACAGACTCACGAGGTAATGATAATGGGTCCGCTCCTTAACATTGATTCTATTCTCCATCTGTCTCACAAAATCTTCGCCTTTTTCCATCTCACCCATCTGAATGTACATTGAAGCCATTATGCTGAATGTGCTCCAGTGTATAATAACACGAGGGTCCATTTTCATTTTCTCAAATGCTGCTTCCATCTTCTCCACAGATCCTTGGTATCCAAGGAACGTCAACCATATATTATAAGAAGACATGTCTAAAATATTTTTCGAATCCATTTCTGATATTATACGCTCCACCTGGTCATTAACCTTGAGTTTCATGTAAAGGGTCATCATCACATTATATGGGTGAGATGTACTGGCAAAATTTCGGATTTTCATCTCATCAAATAAAGATTCCGCTTTTCCCCTCATTTCTGATTGGACATAGGCATTCAAGAGTGAGGCATACACTAGGTTGTCCTTCATATCTTTTGGCAAATTCATGAAGTAGTCTTCGGCGTCTGAGATTCCTTTCACTTGGTATATTAAATTTAAATGAACTGCAGTGTCTTTTGTAGTTACATGATATGTATCCTTTCTTTCCATCATCCACTCATATGCCTGCAGAACAAACACAGCTGATCTATGAATGAAAAATATGTATACACAATATTTTCTCTGAACTACGCTGCATACACTTGACAGATTTGATCCACATCGTTTTGGGACTTTTTAAACACTCAATTTTATTAACTTTTGACCCCTGTTCACCGTAATAGGGAGTAATATGTGTATATGTCTATGCTATACTGCCTATTTTGAAGTATCAAACTCTAAATTCGCCTCAATTCAGACAAGATTAAAACAATCTTCACTTAGATAGCACTAGTATTATTTTAACAAATTCTTGACATACTCAAAATCCTGTGAATCTATTTCCTACTAAACTAACATGAATTTCCTACGTGTACTGTGACCTAACTGAACATCAATTCGGACAGAGCATTCACCATACTACAATTTTATGGAAGAATAGCTTCCATACAAATAGAGAGAGTTTAGAATTACTGGGTATTGAACAAAGGAGCACCCTATCTGTGTAAAAGAAAATCCTCAATTTAGGCGGGGGGAGAGTATAACCTGGAGGGCAAGCTTGTATCGCTTGAATTTGCGGAGTTCCTTAATTACAAGCAAAAGATCCGGTACTGAAATCTTCGCACCCTCATTCTCATACTGTTCTAGCACTGCATCAGCGCTGGTTGCTTCCGAGCATCCAGCAATGCATATGCGCTTGTAGATTTTGTACCAACCGAGTTTCGGCCTCTTCTCATAGTCCACGGTGCTGGCATTCGATTTTGAGGAACATGAGACCGCAGGGCTCTTCGGTGAGTAAAGAAGAATCGATGTTGAGAACCCAGGAGGGGATGAAAGCAAGTGGGAGATATCCACTGAGCATGAGAGACGGCGGAGACAGTGGTGGTGAACCGGCGCTGCTGTTGTGGTTGTGACGGATTGGAGCAACATTGTTCTTGATGTTCAACTCTATCGGCTCGTAAGCCCTTTTTCAATATTACGATAAGAATCTCCTTTTGCAGGTTTCACTTCAGCGAATTCCCACCACACCACCTGAAGCCTGAAGAATATATGTTATCCATTTTGACATGTTAGAGCATGCTACATTGTCATTAGAGAAATATTGATTTTATGATATTTCTCTCTCTTTCTTTCCACGGTCTTATGTGTTTTTGGTAAGTTTTTGTCTGCAATGTCAACCACAATGTCTACATCTAGACATTTTGCTTGATATTGTGAAGAAAAACTTATCAAAATGATGTAACATCCTTCAAATAAGCACTGTTGTAAACGAATCAAATAATTTGTGCTCGATTCGCGATTCGAATTCGTATAGTAGGATTCGAATTCGGAAAATTCAAATACAAATACAAATAAGAATATTAAATTTGATTTGAGTTGTTATCAAATACAAAAAAGAATATCAGTGTATTCGATTCGAATATTATTCAAATATATTCGATTAATAATAATGGTAATATTAATATCAATATCAATAAAAATAGTAATAACACTATAATAACTTTGAAAAGATAGCAATAACCTCAAAGTGTATCCCATATATACATTTTTGCATACAAATTTCAAGCCTATTTGTAATAAACCAGAATATAAATATGAATACAAATCAATTTTTTTGGTTCAAATGTCTTTCAAATACAATACAAATAATTATGTATTCGATTTGAAGAATAAAATTAGAGTTGTTTGACTTTGATATATACAATTATTAACTTATTTCACACATTATAAATATAATTTCTAATATGTGTGTGTTAGTGTTTATTTCAAAAGGTTTGAAGTAGATTTATATTTATTAATCATAAAATTAATTCACTTTAGTATATTGTGCACCATCTAAAAATGCATTGATCCATTAAATTTAAATTCTAAAAACACATATTAAGTCATAGCATGCATTTACAACATAAACAATACGGAGTATAAGAAAAGTTATTTTAAAGCGATACTCCGTATTTGACTAATATTTAACCTATGATCAAATCGATTCGATATTCGTGTATAATTCGTTAACTATTCGTATTGTTAAACAAATACAAATACAAATTGAAATTAATATTCGTTGCATATTTGAATTCGAATTCGTATTCGAAAAATTAAACAAATACAAATACAAAATCTCATTATTCGACTCGATTCGGTTCGTATACAACCCTACAAATAAGGAGATAGATATTCTATTTATTGTTTTTAATTGGTTATTTCTAATGTCACGTATGCACCGTTAACATTTTAGCATTGAAGAAGCTCTTAGAGCATCTACAATCGGAGGCTGTGAACATTAAAAAAGTGGTTACGTCGGCCTTGTTGAACATTGGAATACAAGCTTGGTCTCCAAGCCAGGATGTAAAGCTACCTGTTATGCTGACATGTCAAAAAATAGTTTTGACATTGTTCACATCATAGTCTTCGTATAACAATGTTGTTGACATGGTGATTCACCATTTTGGTTGAGAAACATCCGTAAATGACCACTTCTATTGTCCATAAAAATCTCTACACATGTCCCCACGATCTATATGTTCCACACAAAGGATTTTGATTAATTTGTTTTAAAAGCTGAAGGCTTTACACGTAACCATCCATATAGTCTATTAACATAATGCATTGGATGAGTTTTTTGGATTCCACCGTCTATTTATATGAGGTGGTTAGACATTCCATTTATTGATTGCCATGTGTAAAAAATTATCCAATGTTAACAATGTAGCATTGAAGATGCTTTTAGAATGTTAGATGGATGGAAATTTTGGTGTGGTTTAGGGCATAGGGCAGAGAATATCGAATTGAAAAGGTCACCAACAGTAGCTTTTGGGTAGCTTTTATGTAGGAAAAAAGTTTTTTTTTGGGTAGCTTTTATGTTTTTATTATATTATTATTACTTGATTGTTTTCTATCCCAGATTGAACCAAACCAAATCAGATCAGACTTAGACAATTATAAAATACACAAAAATCAGACATTTGTCAGACTAGTTCACAACATATCCGACTAGACCAGAAAATTTGAGTCCACGTAAAAAGTCCTAAAAGTAAAAATGGGAATTGTCCTAAATAGAACTAAATATGTTTTGGAATTCCAAAATATAACTCATATGTTTCCTTCCTGAAATAAGAGTTGTTACTACCATGATTGAAAAATATTCTCATAATTGAAAAATAATTTCATTAGTGATAGTGCATACTACTATGTTGAATGTCTTGTATTGCATATTGTCATGTTAGTCCTATTTAACCCTATTTGGGGAAATCACCCAACCATCTTCATCATCCTATTTTCTTCTTCTTCTTCATATCTTCTAACGTACTCTTTCATTTCAAACTTTTTTCTTTACTTGTACGAAATTCATCTTTTCATTTTTTCTTATAATTATATTCTAGAATTTTTTTGAAATCAGATGTAAATTATTTACATATGCAACTACATCATATATTTATGCGCCTACCAGCAACTTTTGTCTTTGTGAAAGAACTTTATATGAACACATAAACACAGACAACTATTATTTGTGATTAATATTGTTTTGCATGCACATAAACACTAGCCTTTTCATGAGTGAGGAAAATGTATCTAAATATTTCATAATTTGTTTACACAACATTTCGACGCAATCAATGGCTTGTGAGCTAGTAAATAAACTTTGTGGCACCAAAAACAATGGCTTTGGAGCATACATTAATTTGTGTACAGGGACAACTATTGTACATAGTATGTGCCAAGTGCCAACAAGCGGTTTCTTGTTCTAGCACATAGTTTCCTTTGACCAACCAAATGCGTAGATATACATAGTATGTGCCAAGTGCCATGTTCTATGTATAATGTTCTATACATAGAAAAACTTTGTTTTGTAATATACATTGTACTTCTTTATTTTTACTATTTTGCTCTTGTTTAATATCCCTTTCTCAACTCTTAGTTTCCTGGTTCCACTCTTTTCATTGTCTTTTTTAGGCATGGGAATGGGTCGGGTCGGGGCGGGTACTGCAAGACCCAGACCCGCCCCGTGACTTGGCGGGGCGGGTCCGCCCCGCCCCGTGACCTGCACGGGTCCAAACTTGTTGACCCATGACCCGCCCCATGCGGGGCGGGTCCGCCCCGCCCCGCCGTAACCTTATTAGCTAGTATGTATTTTTATTTGTGGGAAGTTGTTACGAATTACATCTACATAAAGTTTATCTCTAAATAATAATTAAAAATTCATGATACCCAAAAAATTTCAAAAATTAACAAAAAATTACTCAGATTTGAATAGTTAATCTATTTAATTATATTAACAATTGAACATATGTATTAAAATGTTTTATATAAAGAAGACATTGATAATCTGTCGTTCATCTCGTTCTAATATATGTATTAATATATTATAAGATCAAAGAATTTATGATTTACTGTATACCCACATATGTATGTTGAAGTATATTTGTAGCATAATTTAAGAAAAAAGTATGTATGCTTATGTATTGAGCGGGTCGGGTCGGGGCGGCACGGGTCAATACTAATACTCGGACCCGCCCCATTGTATAGGCGGGGTGGGGCGGACTCGCCCCATTTGGAAGACGGGGCGGGCCGGACCCGCCCCAAATGTCTCGGGCCAGGGCGGGTCACTTCAGGTCGGTTTTTTTTACATCCCTATCTTTCTTGCCCCTTCCCTTCATTTACTCGTCTCTTTCCTGCTCTTTCAGTTTTCTTCATCATAAAAAAATTGTTATAATCTACTCCATGTTTTTTGTGCATTTAGGGTTATTGTTATCCTTTATTTTTTCAATTTATGTATAGTATATGTTATGATATAATGCTGAATGTTTTACTATTTTGTCTCACTTTTATATATTTTTTATGGTAATGGTTAAAAAAATTGTCGGATTTTTATCATTTTTACAATCATAACATGTTTGTGCTTTTTTGTTCATACCCAAGAATTTTCTTGTCATCCTTATTTGTTAATGTGCTTATTATTAAAATTTAGTGTGTGAACTCCACTGAATGTGATTCGTGTATGTAAAGTATTTGTTAAAATGTTAATAAATCAAATGTTGAATCATGTAAATTATTTGACCTTCTTGTTAGCCGTTAGGTAACATATGACTTTGATACTGAACATGGAGTATATATATATTTACTTACTTGCAATACAAACATGTATCATGCAAATTTACATTGATATATAATCAATAGTAATATATTCCATGCGCTTTAACAAAATAAGGTCAAAGTTGAAAGCATGAATAGTAAAAAAATCAAATGATTATTATAATTAAGATATATATGTGATAATAAATTTCTCGTAAATATTGATTTTTCAAGAAAAACTGCTCACAGAATTCCATTTTATGAGGGATGTTTTTTATGGTTGAATAACCTCGGTTCCAACTTTTTTCCTCGAATCAATACTTTAATCAGATGAATTCTCAAAACTATCGTTCAAAAAATAACTTATTAGTTTTGTCTACCAAATAAATTTCTCACTTAATCAACAAAGAATCTGATCGAATTTGCCATTATTTGAGTGGGTCATTCTTTTATAGTCGAGTCATTCCTTAAAATATCGTTGTCTTTAAATTTTTAGTCTGACCAATCAGATATTTATATCAAAAATTATTTACGGAGTTTAACATAACATGATATATATGAAAATTCTCCAAGTAAAAATACTTTTATAAGAGTATTAAACTTATAGCTTTCATCAAAATATAATAACCAAAATCATTACCCAAAATTTATCACTATTGATTTTTTTTTTTTTGAAAAAAAAAACACTTTTAAGTTAAGAAGTTAAGAATCAAGATGATCAAATTTTAACTTTGAAGGGGCATAGGCAAGTATCACGGGTCATTCTTGCTGTCGTGTTATCTTTCACAGAAGTTGGGATGGCTTTATGTGAGCATGATTTCAAAGGTATATGTAAGTATCAAGTATGTATCTGTAAGTATGTACTACTGCAACAAAGGAAGTAAGGAACCTAACCCTTTTGATCTACAATTACCCAAATATTGTTCAAGATTTTCGAAGCAAAAAGGGGTATTCATTATACGGGGTATTAGACTATTAGAGCATGAGAT